GGTCAGGCGCTGATGGGAGGCTGGTCTGTGGAGAGGTTTGCTCAAAGCTGAGCTTAAAGGAACCTTGGTGGCAGCCTAGCGGTTACATGTTGGGCTGCTAACCATAAGATCAGCGGTTCGAAACCGCCAGTGGACCTGTGGGAGAAAGTCGGGGCTTTCTACTACTGTAAAAGCTTTACATTCTGGGAAGCCCAGAGGGGTGGTTCGTATCAACTCGATGCGGGCCAGCCAGATCTCTGCATTTGACAGATGGGGAAACTGAGGTCCAGAGAGGCGGAGGTGTGGGTTTAGGGTGTATGGGGCAGTGAGTGAGATCAGGGAGGTGGGGTGGGGCGTCCCCTGAGGAGGTGACATTCAACATCAGTGACATCGGCGTGTCTGGCACAGATGTATTGCGCACTGAATCCGTGTGCCTGAGGAACGGCGTGTGGGCACAAACATTACAGAGGGTGGGGGGCGGTTACCAAGGAAAATCGTGGCGGGGCAGGTGCCTGAGTTTCCCGGAGTGCCCCACGCGCGCGGATTTGCTTCCTCTGGTTGCTGTAACAACGAACACCAGGAACGAACACCAGCTACCTGTCCCATGCCATCAAGTAGACTGCATCTCATAGTGGCCCCGTGAGATAGACCGGAGCTGCCCCACAGCGTTTCCAAAGGAAGGGGGTCCTGGTAGCGCTGCGGGTTAGGCGCCGGCCATAGGGTTTCCAGGGCTGTAGTATAAGCCGTTTTGAAGTCATCCGTACCTGTTAATATCACCTGTCTCACCATCCTTGCTTCTGAGGAGCATCCTGGCTGTACTTCTTCCGAGAACTACCTCCGTTCCTCTTCCGTCTCCCTTACTCCGTGCCCGACTCTCAGGTGCATAGAACTTACCGTGACTGGAGCAGGTGCACCTTAGTCCTCAAAGGAACATCACAGCTTCCCAACATTTCCGATCTGACTGTCATCTATGTAACATAAAATCATTGTCATTATATGACTATCACGTGTATGTACAGTGAACCCTCGTTTATCGCGGTTAATCGGTTCTAGACCCTACCGTGATAAATGAAATTCCGCGAAGTAGGATTCCTTATTTGTAAATCAAATATTTTCGTAGTTAGAGCATAGAGGGTCATAGGGATATGACAGGACTAATGACTCTTTTTTTTAAAAAAACAACACGCACACGTTGTCTTACAAGGATCCCTGGTTAAGCATGGGTCTGCAAACCGGAGAGTCAGCGGTTCAAACCCACCGACGATTTCTCAGAAGGCAGACATGCCGCCGCCGGCCTGCTTCCGTGAAGAAGGACAGTCCCTTCTCCTGTCCTACGGGGACCCCACCGGTCGGGATGGACTGCAGGCAGGCTGTTCCAGGTGGGTTGGGTGATCACATTGAGTCACCTGGATAGTGTCCTCGTCCCAAAGCTTGGGGGAAACTGAGGACCGGGAAGAGAGTGACTGTGGATGAATTCTTTATTCTCATGATTAAGAAGCCCGCGAGGCTGGGGTGCTGGGTGGAGGGAGGCCTTCACCCTTGTGGGTTAGAGATGAGTCCCAATCACATTCTCATAACTAAGATTAATCCCCACAATATCCTCTCATCATAGTGGTGCCTGAAAGTGACCTCTTAAAAGCACATGGCTGATTGCTATCTGACCAGCAGCTTTATCTGTAGGAGCAGACATGTGCTATTGCCCTCCCTGCTCAGGGGACAGTCACTCCCCCTTACCTGCCCCCAGCACTGGTGTTAGGCTACTCCCCCAATAAACTCGGGGACCTCTAGGGTTAAAAGTACTGCCCACTTTGTTACTATGTGGTTACCTGTAATTAAGGGGGCTTGCAAGTCCTGAGACTATATAAGCTGATGTAAGAATACATTCTCTCTCTCTCCCTCCCTTCCTCTCAGACCTGGTTCCTGATGCCAGAGAGGAGGTGAGCACCCCAAAACCTTTGTCTGCCATTTAATTTCTTCCCTTCAACTACACAATCGTCCTTTAGGACATGTCCGGATGTGGGGCTGTATCTCACAATGACACCTGCAAGCTCCCCCTTCGGCCCGATCACGTAGCATCTGCACAGTGTCTGGACATTAAGGCGGGGCCATCTTTGGGGAACTGTGATTCAACTTACCACACCTATGTACGTACAGGTGTGGGGTGTACGTGTGTGTCTTGATGGCAACTGGTTTGGGGTTTATAAAGTTACTGGGACGAGGAAACCGATGGTGGTAGCAATCCTACGATTCTTCTCGACGTGACTGAAATATGGAATGATATGTTACTGGTTTTAAATCCCAACGAATATAAATAAATAAAACTCACAGGGACTAACAGGTCCTATTTTAAGTTTTAATGCAGGTAGACCTCGAAACCATTGCATACTAGGTTCCAGGCCACAGAAGCAGAACAGGGATCGTCGATAGTGCTGGGCGCGAACATTCTGGTGTCTCCAGTCCGCTGAAGTTACCTCCAGCTAGGCCACAGCCTGTGCAGCCGGCAGGAGGGGGGACGGGGTGTCGTCGGTGACTCGTGTGGAGAACAACCAAGTGGTGACATAGAGAGGAAGTGAGCAGTTGGGGGCTGTTGCGGAAACGACACCCAAGGGAGCTGCTCCAAGCAGGGCTGCCACCAACGCGCCCCGCCCCCATTCAAAAGGAAACCAAACAGAGACGCCACATCCGCTATGTGCTGAACAGTGGCGCGCAAGAAAACGAAGCGTGCCGTACTGACCGCTGCAAATGCTGCGTTTTTTCTTTTCTTTTTTAAACCGCTTCTACAAGTACCATCCATTGACAGGCTGACATTCTTCAAGTTATGCCACCGCCTGCACCCTCCGCCTCTCTTCCTGCCCGCTAAGGAGCCTACCTAATCCTCCCAGGTGCTGTTCTCAGCTTCATCTCCTGCAGAGAGACAGGCATGCTTAAAAACAAAAACAAGTTAAGCTAAACTGCTGTTCTGTTGTCGGATCACTTTCAAGAACGTAGATGTAGATGTGAAAAATGAGGAGCTGATTCCCAAGGGCTCAAGCAGAAAGCAAATGTCTTGAGAATGAGATGGCAACAAATGTGCAAATGTGCTGGACACAGCGGATGCTGTACGGATGGTGAGAAGCATTGTACGAGTCCCCAGGAAACTGATTTCTTAAAAAGGGAGAGAAAAAGAATAGATACGCTTGTTTTCGGTTTGGAGAAGATCTCAGGGTCATCGTTTCAGAGGCTCATGTAACCTGCATGGCTCCAGAAAGTCCAGAGTCCACGAGAATTTAAAATTCTGCTCTGCATATTCCCCCTTTTGTTCATTATTCGTATTCTTAAAAAAAAAATTTTTTTTAACCGTTTTCTTGTCACTTCCTCCACGTGTCCTCTGTGCTGGTGTTTTCCAAAGGCTGTGGTGGGTGTTTGTTTCAATGAGCCGGTCCAGGGGTTTTCTTTAGTGCACCCCAGCTCTCAGACGCCCCCGTGTGTGCCAGCGTAGAATGTGCTCTGTGGGGTTCGCAGTGGTCCCCAGCCCCGCCGAAACAGGGTGCCAGACCTTTCTTCCGACACACCACTGGTTGGACTCGGGCCTCCAGCCGTTTGGGTGGGAGCCATACGAGCGAGCGCAGGGACTGTGCCCACCGCCTTTGGGCTCCTGGCCCAGAGCACCAGGTGGA